ATTTTTAGTAGAAAACCCTTATTTCAAACAAAATTTAAAGTCACTATAAAACAGGCAGAAGGGAAACTTCCTTGTTTGAAGCCAATAAATGGAGCCCAAGCCCAAATGGCCTGGCCTTCCCCCTCACATTTGCCCCCTCACCCCAAGATTCCTGAAACACTTTCTTGAAAGCACAGGGCTCCTCGGAACCAGTTTGAAAACCAGCAGGTGAGATACTATCCAAGGTTCCTTCCAGCTTTCAGCAGAATGGAGAAAATCAAAGGCTGCAGTGAAACAGGTTTGGGCTCAGACCTTAGTTCTGTTACTTCCTAAGCTCTATGTCCAGTTTCCCCATCTGTCAAGTGAAGATATAAAGAGCTCTCTAGTAGGACAATTGCTAGGTTAAGAATATACATAAAGCCTCTAGTTCTCGCCAGTGCCCGCGACCCAGTGGGGCGTGGCTGTCATAAAGGTTATGAACCTAAATTGAGCAGAACAAAGTGTGGGAAGACCCTATACTTGAACTACTAAATTACAATGAAACCCTTGTCATCCCTAAAGCCTAAACCTCAAGACCTTGAGGCTAAAACTCCTCTTTAGAACCCGAGTTGTTTTTTATTGTTCCAAATTAGTGAGGGGTGGGAAAATTCTCCTAATTCAGTGAACATTCTGCATGCCTTGGAGAGCATGTACTGTGTAGACACACCCCAAGTCTCTTAAATGACACCCTGGTCAATCCAACCACCACTGATGGAATTTAAAGCACATTACTTTCACCAAATAATGATAGGGGAAATGTCAGTAAGAACCTTTTAATACTAAACCACAAGACACTCAGAACCTAACAGCTCACATTCGATATTTCACTCCATGTCATAAAACAATTCAGCAAAGAAGCTGTTGTTCATTTGGTGAGCTGCTGTGATGGCCTGCGTTCTTTCTGCAGCGGAGGAGTTCCCCCAGAAAATGCATCCCACCCCAGAAGTCTGTGATTTCTGAAAACCATACCTTTGGGGAATTTTCCTGGCATTCTATTAAGCGAGCACCACTTTATAGTCCTCTAATGTGCAGGACAGTAAAGACTCAAAGTTTAGAAACCCTTTGCCACCGAAGTTTATATATTTATTTTTTAAAGTATTTATTGTTGAGAGTATTACAGATATTCTCTCCCCGCCCCTCATCGCCTTTCTCCACCCAGTACCCGCCCCTACCTAAGCCTTCACCATCCTATTGTCTGTGCCCATAGGTAATACATATATACATATAAGTTCTTTGGTTAATCTCTTCCCACCCCGCTCTTTCCCTCTGAGATTCATCAGTCTGTTCCATGTTTCCATCCCTCTGGTTTTATTTTATTCATCAGTTTATTTTGTTCATTAGATCCCTCATTTGTTTATTTTTATTTTTAGATTCAATTGTTTATAGATATGTATTTATTGCCATTTTATTGTTCATATTTTTATTTCTCCTCCTCCTCCTCCTTCTTTGCTTTCTCTTGCTGCTTTTAAGATTCTCTCTTTGTCTTTTGCTCTTGGCATTTTAATTATGTTGTGTCTTGGTGTTGTCCTCTTTGGATTCCTTTTGTTTGGGGTTCTCCGCGCTTCTTGGACCTGTAAGTCCATTTCTTTCACCAGGTGGCCAGGCAGC